TGTGAGTAAACTGCTCTGCTTTAGGCTCATGTGTCCATGGACATTGCTGCAGATATCTGGTGGTTCATGCAGTGGAAGGAGTCCAGTCTACCTCCTACTGGAGGAACCACAGCAACCCTCAGGAGCTCTGACTGACCGGGCCAAACACCTGGGCAACAAGGCCTTCAACATCTGGAAGCAACACAACTACCAACTAACACAGCTCATCCAGAACTTATGTCTGAAGATCTGAGTGTGAGACGATCAAGAAAGCACATCAGAGCCTACTTCTCCAGCTACACCTCCAGATGCAGGAAGAGGGCCACCTGCATCATGAAGGACCCCACTCACCCAGCACACACACTTTTTGCCCCGCTCCTCTCAGGAAGGAGGTTGAGGAGCATTATGTGTAGAACCACTAGACTGAGGAACAGCTTCTACCCTGAATCTGTTACTCATAAATCACTAACCAGAAAAATCACTGTAATGCCACTTTAAATGGGATTGTCACTTTATCCATGCTGCTGATTATCCATGCTGCTGATTTCTTGCCTTTAAGCTGCTGTATTCATGCCCATCTGCTCACAACAGACTCATGTTCAGGCTGCTGTTTAATACACCAGATTATTTTACATTATTATTTAGTGTATACCTTAGATCCTTGTTTCTGTTTTATATTTCATACTTTTGCTATTTTTGGGTGTAACTGGGACCTTGAGTACACAATTTCATTCCACCTCATGTACCACATGTGATGCAAATGATAATAAAGTCACCTTGAACCTTGAGTAGACCTTGAGCAGATTCCTGATCATCCAGAGAGGTTTAGTTACAGGTGTTATGTCCTGAGGTGTTTAACTCTGCGAATCACAGCTGGGATGTTGGAAGTGGTGAAGGTTGGATTCTCGATATGTTAGAAAAATCTGATCAGAGGGAGGGGTGGGACCGGAGTGGATTATGTGGAACATGGCGGTATGATGGTAAGTACCTTGTTCTCGAACATCTATTCTTACTGAGCTCCAAATACAGAAACTCCAGAGGAGCAGAGTGAATCTGGACTGGAATGTAAGAAAACAGTCATTCTTATGATCTTGATACAAATGCACACATATACACACACACACACACACACACACACACACACACACACACACA